GCGGGCTCTGGCTGCTCAGGCATGGCCGGCTCTGCTTCCCTCCCTCCGTCTCGACCAACTGCCTGCCTTCCTCCCCAGCCTGCGCGGCCCCGCGTCACTCAACAGCGGCGGCGGCTCCTTCCTGGCCCAACTGAAGTGCACCCGGCGTATAAGACGATCCCCCCACTTGGAGGCATGTTTTTTGGGCCAAAAATTCATCTTATACGCCGGCAAATATGGTACATAAATGTAAGCTTTGATTGAAGAAAGGAACATAATCACTACCAGAAGTATAGCAGCAATTTCCAGAGTTGATTAAGATTTCTGTCAGGCTGTATGAACTTAAGTTTTAGAATACTCCTTCCTAGAGGAGGAGCTAGGTCTACAATCATACTTTTGAAGTATGATATCAGTACACTTTTGATATGGGTTTGAATACATGAGACCCCACTAGGAGGCATGGGACTAAATAATGTGTCATTGTCTTTGAGGCTTCAGACCAGCATGCTTGTCTTTTGAGGCTACAAACTAGCATGAGGAAATGCAAGTCCCAGAATGCTTTATATGCTCACACTGCCAGTACAATGCCTCCTGTAGTTAACTACATCACTTCCAGCACAAGGTTTTGTGTGGGTACCAGACACTGTTTACCGTACTTCCACCATGCCAGTAACATAAAAAATAGGGACAAATAAGGAACTGAGCTATATGCTCCAGCTTAAACTCCGATCATCCTCAATCAGATATGCAAACCTCAGGGGAAGTGGCCTCGATGGGATGCCATAGCTTCATGCCTCACCTTTATATTTATTATCAGAGGAAATATATTATCAGAGTAATATATTTATTCTCAGAGGAAACTACGGTAAGCTTTAGGACACCCTAAAGTCATGCGTCTCAACCTCTGGCAGAATGTCTTTTAAAAGCTGGCATGCCAGTTTTTGTCAGCAATAGGGTGAAATAAAGAAAATGCAAAGAGCAAGAATCCAATAAGGCAATAAAGCCAAGAGTCAGATGACTGAGGCATTGCATTTTGGCAAATGGAGTGATTTTGAATTGTAAAGGAGGGTGAGCAGAATTTCAGAAAAGGAAAGGAGGGCATGTGCATAAAGTGGGGATATATCAAAGAATAATGAGCAACAAATCAGAGGGTAGTGATTTGAAGCAATGGAGAAGCTGTGCAAGCTTTAGCCCAAGCGGCTGCCCTGAAGTAATCTACCCAGTCTCCCATCTTTGAAGCCCCAAGACTTTGGCTACTTACTGGTGCTGCGGCAAGAAGCATGTGAAGGTTGAGCTGCAGAGAGGAAGGATAGCTGTACAGGCAGACAGCATAATTCTTTGCACTGTCTACTCAGTGGAGATAGGGTGAGCTGAAGGTCCTATGTGTGGCCAGCTGGGAAGGAGGAAGTTTGAAATTCTGAGATTTGTGCCTCACAATCTTACCATGTAGGTATGGTGAAATGTGGGCCCCTCGCACTCCCCAGGAGTGTATCATAGTGCCACTGGCTCCTTCTGTTCTTCCCAAGCCACACACCCTCCTTTCCGACTGGAACATTTGTTTGCAGGGCATTCTCAAGTCAGGAGCAGCTCAAATTTATATGAATAAGGAATTACTGTGGGAAATGCTTTGAGCTTCTCTAATCCTACATCATTTGATGTCCACCACGGAGCAGAGAAGGAGGGGGCTAAGCACACCTGTAGCAGGTGCATTACTTGCACCCCAATGAAGCATTAAGCTTCATTGGCACAGCTTAATGCTTCATTGGGGTGCAAGACACCTAATGCACCTGCTACAGGTGTGCTTAGCCCCCTCCTTCCCTGCTCCATGGTGGACAGCAAATTATTTCTCAGAGGCCGTATCTTGAATGGTAGCCAATCATACTAGTGACTTGCTTGCATGGCTATTTACAGTATTTTCATATTAAATTATATATATTCACAGCTTTTGTTTTGTGTTTTTAGTCTAAGTCGGTCTCACAATCTAGAGAATATTTATTTATATATATATAAAAATGGTAAACGTTAAAAGTAATTTATTTCAAAATAGGAGTCATGAATGGTAATCCATAAAAGAAGCTGGAAAATGCTTTAAACTATAACTAGTGTTCTATCCTATGAAGCAGAAGCAACTCAAAATTCAAATAAGAGTAAAACATTGACCTGCAAGCGAAAACCTATTGAACTATATCCTTTCAAATGTAGCTTTCCCACCTTTAAGCAGAATATTGGTAACCAATCATCTAAAGCATATTTTTAAAACTGCTAGACATTATAGAATTAAAATTTAATAGAAATCAAATGGCACAACCCTGCCAATAAACTGATATTTATTTCCCTTGATGGCAAATCTTGACAAACATTCTCGATTTTTAACCTTTTTGAGGGGGAGTGAAGAATACTGCTTTCTTCAGTGTTTAACATGTGAACATGGAATTTTGAAACATAAAATATCTCTTTTGCTCTTTAAGTCCTCAGTTAATATGCAAGATATTTGAGATGTAACAACATAATCAGCACCTGATCAGAAGTACCAAAGTGGAAAAGAATGGATTCAGACAAGAGAGCACACAAGAAACAGAGCAATTTTTAAAAGGTACGCTTATTATAATTATTCAACTTATATCCTTGTTAGTACAGCTGTATATTTAAATAGTTATGCTAGCTAGAACACATCTGGAGAAGAAGGATCTGTATCCAACGCTGTCACTGTACCTGCAAAAGCAGATCCAATGGACCCAAGCAGGAGAGGTGCAAACCTATTGAACTCTCAGTCACTTGTAACAGTCACTTGTAACCTCTTTTTAAAAAAGAACAGCCTTAAAAACTGCTCTGGAAGTTTGAAAAACTCTCAAAAACAGATTTTCATTGTCAGATAAGGGGAAGAGCTGAAAATCCCAAAACTACTATGACCATTAAAATGCGTTCAAGCCAAGATATCCTGTATTAGTCTCTTCTACGAGCATCAAAATTCATTTGTATAGCAAACCTATCCAGATTTCCTTGCTGCACAGGTAAGGCGGAAAACTTGTATTCAGAAAAACTTTCCAAATAGAGTTTGAGATACTTGTTGTAACATTCTGCTTCTTCAGGACAATTTCTGTATTTTACATATATATACAACCTCACTAGATCAGATTTCATGTAATTGTGGAGTGCTTTTTTTAACAGAAGAGCAATGTGAATGTTACAAGGTGAATTAACTTTAATTTGCATATAAGAAGTGTTAAACAGAACGTAATGGAGGGAAAGGCAGGAAATAATAATAATTTCTCAAAACATCTGATTGTATTCAAAATTTATTTTAAACAAAACAAGACAATAATTTTAAATAAACATGGTATTCTTAATATGTTGACAGACAGTTTTAAATTAACCATTCTGAACCTTTGCGCTGTTCTGTCACAGTGCCCTCCAAGTTTTTTCCAACTATTAATTTCCATCTCATAATCAACACAGATTTCTTACAAAAGAAATCAAGTTGTTCACTTAAGTTAAACATCAGTTTCCTTTAAATGATAAAGGGTTTACTAATGTGTGCGTGTACACACCCACACTTCTAATTCAATTTTTTCAGCTACCACACAACATGCACACATATGTGCACACACACACACACACACACACACACACACACACACAGAGAGAGAGAAGTCTGTCCAGCCTTTTGGTTTTATATTACACTGCCTACATGGTGATCAGCATTGAGCCAAACCAACTGAGTGTCACTTTAGCAGTGTAATAGATGGCATCAACCAAACTTCACAAATAAAATACAAACATTATAATCAAAATTAAGCTAGACAACAGTGATAACAATGAAGATGTTAAAAATGCAACTCAAGTAGGTCATAACCAGACTAGTTTAGAGGATGCAACCTTCCTCAGGAAGTGGTTCTTCCCGATTCACATGTAAAGAATGGAACACACATTTAAAGCCTCTGTTCGTGAAAAAATATGCCCTTCAAAACAAATTCTGTAATGTCATAAGGCAAATGGAGAGAATGTACTATGGAGCTTGGGGAATGTTTCATAGGATTTGTCTATACACAAAAATGTATACATTACACTGTGTGTATATCAGACAATCAAATGGGCTGGCTCAGTAAACTGGAAAAAAGTCTATTTATGTACTCATAGTTATTGCTAATATGCTACAGATTATGTTTTTTTGTCACAGACATGGCATAACCATTTAAGCTGCCATACTGGCAACACTCCTAGCCACAGACCTTTATGGTGACAACATGCCATGCCAATTTAAAAGAAAAAGCAGCATAAATACAATTATAAAAGAAAACAAAGGCTTGTGCAGTGTCCCTCTCAATTTTGCTTCGTGATCAGAATCAGTATTAAACCAGTCCAGTTCACCATGCTAAGAGCAATCCCACAGTGGGGTTGGAGAACAAGCTAAGAAGAAACGAGAAAGAGGATAAGAGACAGCATGCATTTACAACTTGGTTATAGTCTAGGCTTTTTAGCCATTATAACTTGAATACAAAAACCCAATTGAGAGACCAGATTAAATGAAGGGGGGGAAAAAGCCAAAAATAGATGTAGTTTCATAGTTAAAGCTTACATTTTCATATCAGTAACAGCAAATTATCTTTCCTTTTATTATACTGACAAGTATCTATTGCAATTTGATATTTAAAGTTGACTAGTGTATAGTGAGACTTATGTCCATTTAAGAAACGGATATTAAATACCTGCATCATGAAGAAAAGGATATTAAATACCTGCATCATGAAGTTACATTCTTAAGACAGTGTGTAAGAAAATAGCATATATGTGAAATGTTTTTGAAATGCATCCCCCCACCCCATAGCTATCAAATATTCAGTCACACAGAAACAAAAAGAAAAACAAAACCTTTTAAAAACAAAGATGGGAATGAAGGAGAAGATTAGCTAGGCTAATTACAGCACAGTGATTAAAAATGGTTCAAGACTGAACCAATTAGAGTTGGCCAAAAGATGCCCTCTGGGCATAGCTAACCATTAGTTCTTCCCACCCACTGCATCAAAATTTTGGCTCATTGCAGCAAGAGCAAAATCATTTATCTATATATCCACATACAGATACAAATGTCCAGCTTTTACTTCTTCATAAGGCCTACTTACTTATTTATATTTGCTCCACAACAACTACGAGAGGTAGGCATATATCATCTAAAAAGCTTCTCTCCTTGTGAGTCACCACGTGAGCTTTCAAATGCGAACTGCGCTTGTATTAAAAAGTTGCTAAGTTGTCAAAGGATGCAGTCCAACGACCTAAAGGCCATTTGAGACATATTCATAGTTGTGTCTTGTGCAATCCCTGTTCATTTTCCAATGGATCTGTATAAGTTATTCACTGTTGATTATGTTCTTTGATTCAGAGAGTAGCTTTGACTATATTGAAAGATACTGTCTTTAGAACTTGCTGCAGAACATTCCTATGAAAATGAAACCTGGAACCAATTCTCTTGATTTGATTTCGTACAGAAAAACAAGGTACCATTTGGCCAAGACTACAGATGTACTTTTTTCACAGATGCAAATGCCATGCAAAATAAATTAAAGAACAGATACGAAACATACAGGTAATAAAACTATTGAAGGTAGATCTTTTAAAAGCATTTATATAAACATAATTTATAATACTTTCTTTTTTTCTCTCCTTTTCTTTTCTTTTCTTTTCTTCTTGAAATACACAGTCACAAAGCTGTGGCTATACATCAAGGATCTCTTCTGCAGTGCCTCCACAGCGTAATCTGTAGCGTCCTGTCCTCCAGCTAATGGTAGGATCCCACAAAGCCGAGAGGAAAATGTATATTGTCATAGATTCTCTGATGAACCATGCTACTGCATAGTCAAGTTTTGAAAAACACAGAGGACCACCCTGGAAATTATACAAATATATATATTTATGCTCAGTGACAACGGCAAGAACAAAATTACGTTTTTACTTAAGCAAATATTTACTTACAGAGCAAATCTTCTTTAAAAAATTATGCAGTGGCCAAAGCAGTATTGTCATTTAACACCAGCATCACACAAATAGTGTAACATGTGTGGTTGAATTACTGGAAGTTATAAAATCAGTGTAGTTTAATCACTAAGACATACAAAAATGGTGTATCTCCAAGTGCTTCTGCTCCCTTAATGGCAGTCTGCTTGGAATGACAAAGGCTCCCCAAGATATGAAACTGAGATCTTTCCAGTTTCTACTACTAGGTAATTCTTAACTGGTGACAGGAAATGGCTTTCTACATAGAATACAGCAGTGGTCACAAAGTGCAGCCCTAGGGTTGCAGGCAGCCTCCAAATGTTTTTTTAGTTCCCAGCCTTATATTTTCTCTTTCTCTGGCAAAAAAAAGGGTGATCTGGACCTCCTGGAAGCCTCCAGAAGTGATGACTCAACATCAGATAGATCACAGGAGGGCTCTGCACCATTTAACCCCCACCAAACAGCTCTTATTCAAAATCAATAGTAGTTTTCTAGTGATGTCTCTTTTAATTGTTGCATTTTATACCATTTTGATGGCTTATGCAGCTTCAGAAGGCCCTTGCAGCAGGAAATTCATCTCTGCATCCGCCCCAGTTGCCTAGCTCTCAGCTACAGCCTGTCTCTTAAGAAGCTTATTCTTCTACTATCAGCTGAACAGTGATAGCCACCACAGGTTGTTTCACTGTTCCTTTTTTCCATTCAAGTAATACATGGCTCAGTAAAGACAAAATGTTTTTCTAAAAATTATTAAATTTATATTCTGACTTCCCACTAAAATAGTATTCAATAGTACAATAAAATACAAAATAAGACCAAAGCTATAAGTTATTATCATGACATTAATCTGTATTGTTGAAGACAAAATGAAACCTTTGCCAAGTGGTACTGGCAGAATTCAAGATGTTTGACCTTTCAGCACCATCATAGCAGGATTTGATAACAGACTGCTCATTCTTTAATTGTATGCCTTTATATAGGTCTCAATTTGGTGGAATTTGAGACAGCCAACCATTGATTCCAGTAAGGGCATTTGTAACATCTTTCTGTCACAATATATTGATGATACACTGGTGGAAGGGAAATGATAGAGCTTACAGCTGCAAATTGGCCACTAGTAACAAGTCCCTGCTTGGATTTCTGGTTGCACATCAAGCCACCCAACTGGCATGCACTAAGGAATCCAAGCAGGTGCTCATTAATTAGCTGCCATTATAAATATGAAGCAGGATTTGGACCAATAAATAAATAAATAAATAACTGCAATCAAAGTGTTCTGTTGCACCATGCTGGCTTACACCTACAGCTAAATTATATTTGCTAAGGAGGAAGAACACTTTTTACAACCTTCCTTTGAATGTATAACAGAAAACATTAGAACATTTTATAACTTAAAAAAAGAAAAATGCATACAATTGCAGTTAATTTAAGACAACATTCATTTTTAAAACATGAGGATCTGATCACTGTAACTTACCTGGACACCTCTGAGTTGAATGTAGTCAAAAATAAACCATGCCAAACAGTGACACATAAAAAAGACCATTATATCCCATCTGAACACATGGTGAACTGCCCATCCAATAATTAAACTTGCAACAAAGCACTCTGAGATTGGTTCACAGATTATTGTAGCTGGAAGCATATTGATCCGTAGCTTGGCCCATCTATAATTAAGAAGGGGGGGGGAAACAATGAGTTTAAACTGGGCAGTAACCATATTAGCCATAAATATTTCTCTGTTTTGGAACTAAAAATTAAGCAGCAGTGATACTTTGCTATGGACAGAGTTGTCAATGTACTATTGCAGCTCATGTGCGAGATCTATATTGTAGACCCTATTTAGCCATGAAGTTAATTACCACCAGTCCATCCTTCTCACATGGCCTGACCTTCCTCAGAGGACTGTGAGGACAAGTGGGGAGAGCAGCCATGCATGCTTTCTTGAGATCATGGAATGAAAGGTGGGAAATACACTGAAAAGCATACATTCTTAACAAGTGTCTATGTCTCATGATAGAGGAAAAAATGAAAGAAACAGTTAAATTGTTTAAATGGGAGGCATATCAGGCAAATCCAAAGAAACAAAACAAAAGACAAAGACTTTTGCCTAATATCCTTGCACAGATTAACACGGTTACCTCCTTTAAAACTACAACTATGTAATGGGAAGGTGGTTATTCCATCTCTCTGAATAATGAAAAGGTAAAAGTGGAAGGAAAGATTACTATAGAATCTGAAAGGTCTTCTACTGCATTGTAGTCTTTGAGCAGATTCTCAAAAGGGATGATGTTCTAAATCTGACCATCTTTTCAAGAAAAAGTAGAAGCATACAGTACTATCTAGGTGCTCCCATTAATTAGAAGTAGTGAAATAATAACTACTGGATAAACAGAAAAGTATCTCAAAGAAAGTAGCATTTCATCTGTTTCAGTTCGCCCAGGTAAAATCCCGGTTACAGAATGACTAAAATTCTATTGAGTATTTATTTAT